TGTGCCGGGCTGTGCCAGGGACAGGCACCGCCTCAGCCTGAGGGGAGCCCCAGTGCGTGTGTGGCCTGTGGCCCGCGGGCCCTGCCCGGCCGCCTGAGCGCCGCTCCCCACAGAGCTCATGGCAGCAGATGGGGAGGAGGAGCAGCCACGGCCGCTCGGTGCCCGTGCACTGACAGCCGCTCGAAGGAGGCGTGTCCCACATAGCCATGCTTGTTCTCACTTTAGGACGTACGTAAACCTTGCTCCTGGCAAGGCAATGTCTGTTCAGCGGCAGCAGTGGGCTCTGGCAGCTGAGTGCAGCGGAGAGGGGCAGGAAGGCTCCGCGTTTSCTGTCAGGCCGTGGCCCCTCTCTCTGGTCTCACAGCCAAAAATCTACACTGCCTCGATAAAGTAATGTAGTAGAGTGGAAGCCAGAGTGCCAGTCTTAATTTTAGTGCTGCAGTTCAGCCCTATAAATGTCCATGCTACTCTGTTGACCATTGTTTGAAAAGTAGTCATTTATATGTCATCTTATAGACTAATTGCAGATAAAATTTGGGCAAACTTGGAACAGGATATTTTACAGGCCTCGCAAAATAATTATGCTTGAAAGGAATGAAAAGGGACTGTCTTTACAAACAGATTCTGACTCTGGGGGTAAGACAAGGCTGATACTGAGAGAAGGAGGGGAACAATAGGAAGGATTTCCATAGGAATTCCACTGATTGGCTTACTCCACACGATAGACTACAAGAGCAGAGACACGGAGGTGTATATTGATTTATGAAAGGGGGAAATGTATGACAGAAGGGGGGGTTTCATTAGGCATTTTGGGGAACCTGTACCTCTCAAGTATCTCAGCCAATGGGGGAAGAGAAACTGGGATAAAAGAGGCTGTGTCCTCTAGCAGTTTGAGAGACCCCATGGGAAATGCCCATGATCTCTCCCTTTATTCGTGAATAAAGTTGTGGGACTCCTCTGTCTCCTTTTTGGATATAAACCTCTGGTCCTTGTGGATTAATTTTCCTGACATGCTGCTTTTTTGGGCTTGGCTGTATGCCTGCATATGTTACAACAAACCTGAACATCCCAGTTGTAGGAAAACCATGCAGATCAGGACCCCATGCATCTGTGAGCCCTCAGCTCCACTGCTAGCCTGAAGCAAGCATGCAGTGTGCTTTTTCCACAGAAATATGAAGAGACGGGATCTTGATSAAAGGGTATCAAGATAGCCCACTGGGATTCTCAGTTGTCTCAGCAAATTGATTATTCTCACAGATTTTAYAAGCTTTAAGGAATGAGTAAATAGGATAATGAAGCTTAGGCTCAGTCTTCCACTTTGTGATCAATGTGTATACTGTAAAAGTATTCCACAAACCTTTGAAGGGCATATGTGCTCTTGTTTTCAGAAAGAGTCGTCTGCTTTTGGGCAGCCTTTCCTCCCTGATGTTGTAGCCCAGGGTGTTGCAGCGGTTCTTCCTACAGCTGAGGCACAGTCCTTTGTTGAAAGTGTTGATGTCATTGCACCAGTAAGCTGTGCTTTGCTTGTCCTTGTGCAGCAGAGAGTCGATGAACAAATGAACTGACCTCTCATGGGCACATTTCACAGTTTGAGTGATGCCTGAAAAATGCAAACAACAAAATTTCACATGCTCTTGTTTCTTTTTCCCACGTCACCTGCAGAGGATTACTGTAGCCAAATAGAAACATGTTATTGTTTTCTCCTCCTACCCTTTACTACACCTTGCCTCAGAAATAATGCATTGTAGCAATTTTACTTATAGGATCATTCAAAATAGAATGACTGAACTCCATGATAATAAAATTGAATAATTTCCTGCTTAAGCTTCTCTAGCCTAACTGTATCAGACTGTAAATATCAACCTTGATTTAATTRTTCTGGCTCTTTTGGTCAATAGAAAATACCATTTGAGTTGATATGTAGTTTTTCAGATCATGCCACATTAGAGACAGCAGTCTCATTCTGAATTGTTGAACTCCTCTATTGGGTTGTGCATGTTTAGGCAGCAACATCATATTCTGTCCCTGTTRGACTGACAAACTCTTATGTTGATTTTTCTTGCAGCTACTACTTGGAAAAAATGAGCAAAAATTTTATTACATGCAGTAAAAAATATTAAWTAGGTCTTCTATTATGAGAAGTATGGTTTTGTTAGTTAAGTGCTATCAAATTCTAAAAATTATTTTGTGCAATCAGGATATATCACAATGGGCTGTTTTATCTGTTCACTGATAAACTTTCGAGCTGATGCTTGGTTTCACATTTGTCACAATTTATCTTCTCACAAATAAGGCACAAATCTAGGCATTGTATGATGATAGTTGAGAAATACTTCTGCAGTTCCAGGTGCTGAGGGAGCAAGGCTCTTTTGGGGGTTTTCAGTGAACACTTCTGGTTGTCACTGTGCATCAGGATCTTTTTCAATATGTTGCATCAGTTTCTCTATATGTTTATGTTTAGGTACATTGGAAATAAGTTTCTATAAATAAAAACTAGCCTGGAACACTGGCAGTCGTGTCCTAGAGAGAGTGTTATCTGTGCAGTCAAAGGACATGGAATAGAGAAAAGGTGAACTAAGAAGGTGAGTAGTACAGACCTGTGTTTTATTTGATTTGAAGTAATTAATGGCACACTAGACAAAKCTGGCTTAATTAGAATAAATTTTCTCATCTCTCCTACTGCTGAAACAAATACCATTAGATTATTCAGAGGTRCCTGACAGCAGGATGCTCATGGCCTCATTTTCACGAGTACTAGGCAGCTCAATTCCTTACTGGAATCAGTAAAACCAATATGAACTCAAGACATGTAAAAATCACAAAACTGATCTCTAAACAAGAAAACACTTTGCATATGAGGGGTGATAAGAGTGGTAATACTTAGATGCTGCTTGAGACCACAGTTATGTAGTTTCTCAGAGAAAACCAGTACAGCTGTACCACTGCCTCCCRCTCTGTGCTGCTGGTTCTTACCAGTGATCCCGAATTGTGCAATGTGGTTGTACACATGCAGGATGTGACAGCCAGGCTGGAAGGTGCCTCCGTTGGGATAAAAGTCAAAATGAGCCACAGGCTGCTTGATGCCAACACTGAGGCCCATGTGCTGTTTAGTGAAGGTATGAATTGCATCTACAAAGTTTGCATCATCTGGAGATAAACGGTCTGTTGGTGACATTCCTTCAAACAAGGGACCAGCAGGGTCAAGGCCTGCAATAAATGCAAATAATCCCGTTGTTATATACTGCAGACKTTCTGTTCCAGTGCTGTAAGAAGTCTGTGATAAATGTTTGAAAACAGGTAGCACACGTATTTTACAGTATTTTTTACATATTTAGATCTGATAGAGACTAACAAGAAGACTCRTTCCGCAGGGAGTACGGGGTTACACCTAAAGCAAACACAGTAACAAACAGTAACTGGGGCCAGCACAAGGAGACAGGCCCAGAGACAGATGTGTTTGTCAGAGACAAACCCTGCTGGCTGCCAGCGTCACTTGAGGGACCTTTACGTAATTTTGTTCTTTCAAACTCTAGAGGTCGTGTGTTTCAGAAGCCCTTTGGAAGACACCACTCCCACTACAAGCTTGACTTTTAGCCCACATTTGGGACCTGAAACTTTAAAAAGCTCCACTTACTGCCTGAAAGGGCTATATGTCTGTTAGATTTTATGGATAATAATTCTTCAACTTGAAAAATCTTCAAGGCAGATTATTACAGTAATAAGAAAAAYAATACACCACTCAGAGAGTCTTGCTGATTTTTGTTTTCTGGAATTTTTTGAACATTGCTCTTCTTGGTCAGCAATTGATTTAGGAAGAGAACTTTGTGCTTACTTTAAAGGTACGTTCAGCTTTGAGACCAAGCTTCTAAATTTGATATTCTTCAGTTGATACTATGGAATAATATAGTTTCATAAATATAACCAGACAGRCAGCAAGTAGAGAAGTCCCCCTGAAGGCATACATTTCTTTTTAGCTTTAATAACTTCTATCAATATCAATTTTTGGAGCTTATTGTTACAAGTCTAAATAACTTTTGTTGAAGAATGCATAGAGCTGTTACAATCATGTGTTCTAAARTTTTTTATTTATCCATAATCAAGGTTTTATGTACTAATAAGGTTTGAACAAGCAGCACATACATTGGTGTAATATCATGATATATTTTGTAAAATCAGCTTCTTGGCACGCAGATACTGCCACAAGAACTGATTGTGTAAGAGGCTGTGGTATGTGGCAATGAATCCAAGATCAGAATTGCAACTTCRAAGTACAGCCATGCATATTTGCCTCACTCCTAAATCTGATATGACTCCTAAAGTAAAATGTTTTCTCTGATAAATTAAATGTTGGTGTTGTGGGTCTTGTGTAAAATGTGCTTCTGTTTTAATTTAGTTTGGGTTTTACAAACTGTCATTGTGCGTTAGATGAGGTACTGTATACAGTATATACAGATGAGGCACTGTATAATGATATTATAAATGTATTTTCATTRCACTCATCATTTGCACAGTTACAAAACATTGCAGAAGGTTCAGAATGTCCCTAGTCAAAACAGTCAAGTGTTAGGGTTAACTTTGTTTACTTTAAACATCTACTAGGGACACTCTAATGATATGTTTGTTGTAAAATGTAATCCAGAACTCATTTTTGACACAGGAGAACTGGCTTGAATTCACTTTATGAACATTGTTCCTCAATTGAAAACCCAAGCACAGTCAATTTCCTTACTATATTTTTAAAATTGCTTGCTAACTATGAACAGTGTATTTGAATGACTTTGGGTCAATACAGTGGCCAGAGATCCAAGGTTAGTGRTTAACATTTAGTTTAAGGTGTCACTGGGAATGGATACAAGATATATTCATGCAACTTGAGACTTTAGTTTATGATTTCTGGCCCACAYGCTTGTGTTTACTATATGCTATAATTTGGACTGAGGTAGAAAAGATCGAAGATAGAAATGCTATGAGACATAATTTTGAAAAATATTTTCATTAAGTTTTCTAAATCTAATTTCTAAACCAATGAGATGAAATTTCTTAACTGTGCTGAAGATTGTTATTCCACAGCTAATTGTCGATATGACATTGATGTATCCAATATCTTTATAACCTGATTCAATTGACTGTTATTTTTCTTAAAGTTGCAAGTCTTTTACCTGTAATTCTTCCAATCTTTTTTGTACCACTGATAAAACTTCCAGCAAATCCTGAAACATGAGCTCCCAGGCTGTACCCAATTAGATGAGCATTGCTTCTGGAAAATTGAATGGATTCCTGGAAGACAGTGGCAACTTGATTTAGATGAAGAAATGTGGAAAGCAAACTGAAATATTTATTAYAAACTAGGAATACTGTGAATTATAACACAAGAAATTTGTATGTTGATGGTGGTCAAATAAGGTGCATGAATCATTCAGTAAATTTCTATTGGCTGAGTGTTATTCCTTGCTTTTTTAATGGAGTAGGAAAAGGCCACACATTTGGTCATTGCTAATTATCTTCTATACACAGGAAAATCATTAACACAGATAGTGGGATTTTTGTTGTTGTTTGTTGCAAATGATGCAGATGTTCTCTACCTTTTGTCTGCAGCATTTGGCTTTATTATAATCCTCTATAAAAAGTGCCTTGCTTTCTTTTCTGATGAGATACCAGCACAAGCCAAACTAAAGGGATGAAAATGTTGATCAGACAAAAAAATGAAATGTTGATCAGACAAAATGAAACAGCAGTGATATTTCTTCTACAAAGATGTGTAATGGATTTGTAACAAACCTATTGAAGCAGAATTGCCCTTCTTTCTACTAATCAATGCTGTGTACATCTTATACATTTCACCTGAGCTGCAAGGCTCAAAGTTTTTCTGACATGTAAAGAAAAATGTGGCATAATTTGATTGCAGGAAAGGTAAACCTGTTTAAAATTTATTTATGAATGTTGCCTGTTCCAGTGGAGTGGCTGTGCAGTCTCAATATCTGTCTCTTCTGAAGACAGGTGAAACTTGGCAGACTTCTTTTGAGAGAGACAGCTTTTAGAAATCACAAGATCTGACCAATTTTCTTGTCAGATGGTGTTTAAATKGATGCTATTGAGGCTGTTACTTATCATGCCCTATTAATTCTTGGACTAGGAGCACTAATATTTAGTTATTGTTTATTCTTTATTAAAATGTTGTGCAGCACTGCAGTTTTTGTTACATCCATTGAAATAATCATTTGCCTATAAGCAGACAGAAGCATAGTGAAAWGATAGTTGTATGAGTTGGAATTGAGGGGGTTTTAACTGTTAAACTCTGGAGGGGTGCTTCTCAATATGAGGAAGGTTTACTGGTTGAACGCACTCAATGCTGTGAACATTTATGATATATTTAAATTCTGAAACACATCACAAGAGAATCTGCCTACAATACTGGAGCAAGGAGTCATTTATTCAAGCCTTGATTTGTTTGTTGACACTAGAGAAATCACAGACTGTCTTTATTGTTGACAATGTGGTGTGTTCTCTTGGGAACTGATCAAAGTCCACCATTTGATTCATTCAATAAACAGCTTAAAATATTACTTTAGGCTCCAGCAATTTAAATGATGTTTGACCAAGAGCTAATGTTTCTTCTAACATCACAATGAAAAACAGTGACTCTGACTCTCTTGCATTCTTTTTTGTTCCTGCTGTCCCTAACAGGGCGTGGTACCTGACAGCTTTTTCTAGCCCTGCTATTCCTGCTTAGACCTTCAATGCTATTTGCTACAAGCCTTTCAGCCTTGCAGTGCATTTCTCCTCCACCTTACGCCTCACCATATTTTAAGTAATGTATTCAAAAATTCTTTATCAGGTATAGAAGTATAATTTAATTTCAAATTTAAAAGCTTAGTATTAAGAGATTGATACAATRAAAGTTGCTTAGAGTTCTTGGGTTGTATGAGTAATTCTCATTCTGCTGTTTGCTTTCTGCCTTTCCTTAAATAGTGCTGGAGATCAGTAATCCCTTGAAGACTTGTCTGCAGCCTCTTCAATCCAGCCATGGCCACTGCTCCCCATGCAGCAGGAGTTTTGATAAATACTCACTGCATTAGTGTGGGTCTGTACTCAATGCTGCCTCCGTGTCATCTGCTTTGGGAAGCATGGGCTCTTGAAAGGGCTTCCTTTACATTCTGGCTCTCATAGCCATTACTTTATCCTAATCTTTAGGAAACTGCAGCAAAAATCAGACATGGTGTCAGGATTGAATTCTGCATTAAAAACAGAAGTGGAGCACAGATAACATAAACCCATTTTCTTGTTCTAATGACTTGCAAATGATGATGTCAGCCTGTTTTCTATGTGTGGAACAATGTCAGCTGTCTACACAAAGTAGCAGGAAATTACCTCACCTCTTAAGATATACAAAAATATTTTCATAACAAGACCACTTGCTTTTTCCTCTTGCATGATGAAAGTTTTATGAAGTTATATAAAAGTTTATGGAAGAAAAATGTGCACCTCATTAAAGAAACACAAGTGACTGAAATGAAAGCATTAGCAAGCACAGTATTTCAARAAGGTTGTGGAAGTGTAAGAACAAATAGTCTTTTCCAGAGAAATGTGTTGATCTGGGAGTTCTTACCTCCAGCCATTCCAGGAATTGTGCTATCTCCTGTCCAATGTGGCGTGTGTTCTGTACAGCAATGGGGTAGTGCTGGTGAGCCAGTGTGAGCCAGTCTGCAATGATGACGTTCATTTGTTTATGCTGCGACTTCAGAGCTGCTGCCATTTTCCAAATCCAGCTTTCTAATATCCCATCCACCTGGTATAATTGARAAAAAAATACCCAAACAATAAGAAAACCCTTATTATGGGAAAGCAGTGTCTGTCAGCAAAAAACATTATATGAACAGGGAGTAATTAATGCTCATAACTAGATTTTGGGAGCTTTGGTGCTGAGAATCTTTATGGTTTGGAGGACCAAAAAATTAAGAGTCAATATGATAAGTGTATAATAGTGTATGTTTTGTAATATAAACTCTTACCAGTGAAAATTATGTCCCAAAATACTTAAACTCATCTGGAGATAAACAGTAGTACTGGTTAAAAAGAAAGACAGAAATGCCCAGAAAATATCTGATTGCATTCAAGAGCAGACTGTCCCTGTAAGTATAAACTATAAGAATTGGARAAGGAAAGCTGGAGGATTGCAGACCAGCAGGCATTTTTCTTCTCTAGCCATCCCATTTTGAAAGCTGCTTTTTTGAGTCATTCTTTTTTGAATACCTGGTTACAATTTTCTTGCATCAAAGTATCTTTCTGATTTGGTGGGCTATTGCTACTCTAGTTGCATATATTTCCTCAATTGATAAAATATCTTTATCTCTTCTAGTGTAACAGAATTTGGGAGTCTCTGAGTTTCCACACACACTTGTCCAAGAGCCCAACACTTCTGCAAATTAAGTAAATGAGAATGATGAACTTCAATGGGAGCAGCTTCAGGCCTGTGGTTTGAGGAGGGTGTAGGTTTGGAACAAATTTTTCTTTGTGAGGCTTGAMTCTTATTTGCTAAGGAAATTATATGTATCTAATTTTTAAGGGGGTAGTATGAATCTGTCTTACATGCTAAGYGAGTTTTGTGCATTGTGGGGAGTGTTCAAAGTTCCTTTGCATGTTTGCAGATGCACATGAAAGATCCATTGTGCCACCTTATGTGATGCCATTGGTTCTAGGASAATTAAAGGTTCTGTTAAAATGACTTAATTTCTTATGCTACTTTTCGTTTCTTTTTCAACTGATAAGCTGCTGARAAGTCACTCTTAGTATTGGTATGCTTTTGAGAAAGCATTTTTGTGGTGAATGGGTTTTCTACAGTTTAACTTGAAGCAGTTCAGTGATAATTCATTGATGTTGAAAGCTTCGCTTTCAGCTGAAGGGGACTGTGGAGAAGTTCTTTTTAAAGGTGTATCTGTGAGAAAGATGTGGGGATATTGTGGGCACTTTTCAAGAAGTCTGTAAATATCTGGCAGTGAACATATCAAAGAAATGAAACTGGTATTCAGCTCTCCAGGGCATAGCACATTAACTCAGCTACTTCTTCAAGCTCTACTGGCTTTAAACCAGGGCTGAATTTAATCCTTGTCATGTGAGWCCCATGTGAAAAATTGCTTGTCGAGTGTTACTTCAGAATCTGTTGGGAATATCCATTTTGTATTTTTTTCTAGCYATGATAGCTACCAGTGAAATCTATCTTCTTTGTATCACAACCTTACTTCTGARACTTCGGTAGCATAATGAGATGGAAAGTATATCAAAATGGATGTAATTGAAATTAAAAATAAAATGTGTGTTCGTACCGACCAGCCATGGACAATCATCACCAGAGGAAGAGAGGCATTGAAACTGCATTTGTCAAGAGTCTCCARCTGATTAACAAAAATCTGGCAGCTGTCTTCAGCTGTATCTGTATARAGTCGAAATTTGGTTTCTACTTTTTGGCGCTCTTTCTTTGTTGTAGCGTGTTCACTCTGTGATCCCAGTGCCTCTGAAATGAAATTTGTGACAACAGTCATAATAAAAAGGAATTGAAAACTGGAAGAAGTCAATAATGCAACACAGTTTGTAAAACAGTAAATGAGTAAGTGTGGAACTCTTCCTATGTGCAATTGTTGCCTACTCCAGGTGGGCCTAAGCTGTACATTTTGGGTCAAAAAAGTGATCCCTGTCAAAGTCTAAGATGTCTAGATRTGCCTCTGAGTCCCCCTATGTGAACAATAACAGTTACACAAGAATAGTGATCTGATTGCTATGGGTGTTTACAGAATGCATAAGTATTGTAAAATCACAGTACAGGTGCTGTGACTTCACCATGTGGTGCATGCACTTTCAGAGCCTTTAACTCTGCAGAGATTTCTACTAAGGTGCATTTGCTCTAATTGCTAAGCAAGAATCCTTACATTRAAATAACCATTTTGTTCAGCGCTATGACTGCTTCAAGACCTGGGTGATTGCTTAAAACTATCCGACCACATAATAAATTATTCTTTTTCTCTGAAAAGGCAAGATGAAATGCTCTTCTTTTAGTTGTAATATTTTTGATGGTTTTGTTTTTAGATAAAATAGCTTGGTGCATTTAGGACAGCATTTTTAGAAATGTCTGTTAAGTAAGAAAGTGGGGTCAGTGTGAACTGTGGTCTTACAATATTATGAGCTTAGGAAAAAAAACATAAATAAAAAACCCCATAAAAATAAATAAAGCTTACAAAAAACACCTTGTGACATGCAAGCCTTTCTAGTGAGACTTCAGAGTATTTATTTAACTGAAAAACCCCATATAATAAATTATTATTTAAGTTAGAAAAAATGGGGTTCAGTAGAAGATAAGGGTTGATGAGCTAGACAAGAGAGAGGTTACAGTTTCTAATGTTAGAAAGGAAACGTTCCTTGGAGTTCCTTGGGGGCAGTTTTTTGGCTAATCTTGTTTTAATATTTTCCTTAAAGAAGTGGCAGCAAAGGTATAAGATTGACAAAATATGGGAGTCCCTTGCTAATATTGGGAAAACCAAACAATTAAACATTAAGAGCTAGATGGCACCTCAAAAATACAGCAAGAGAAACTGGTGGAAATCTACTGTGAAGTGCAAGGTCATACAGTTGATAGGAATTTCTCTATAAATGGGGCTCATAAATTGGAAGTGACACAAGGATAAAAAAAACTTGACTGAAGTAATCAATAACAAAACTGACCATGAGTCACTGCTACCTTTTTACTGTGAAAAAGGAAAATATAATTCCAAAATGCATTAAGGTAGATGGTTTTGGTAGGAAGGGAGGATGGCAGTGACAGTAAGTAAAGGCAGCTGTTAACCACATCCAGAACARTGTGCATAGCTCTTGTTGACAGGTGTGTTTGTGAGAAAGATGTGGGGATATAATGAGCACTTTTCAAGAAGTTTGTAAATATCTGGCAGTGAATATATCAGAGAAATGTAACTGGTAGCTTCATTTCAAATGAAATTGTTTGTTCGGGTGCCACCAATTCCATCTGCAATAGCTGCTCACCAGCATCACTGAAATGGTCAGGGAGGAGGCTTTTGTTTTAATTAGACCCAACAAGTCATGAAATATTATCGGAGGTGAAAATCAAATATTTTATTTAATGAGAAGTTAAAATTATCTGTATCAGAACAGAACTGAATTTAGTTAAATTTTAGTTCTTACTTTTCTTGCATAGAAGTTCCTTAATAAAGCATTAATAACAGGAAAATTGTATTTTGTCTTCAGAGTCAGCACATTTAGTGGGGTTTTTTTGGGTTTTCTTTTTTTTGTACATGGCAACTCTTATATCTGTTGATATTTTTAGAAAATATCTAAAATCATATACTATTCCTTTCTGTATTGTATCTGCAAATCTTTCCTGGGATTCTGTGATATTGTTCTCTTGATGAGATTTTGGTAGTTTACAAGGAACATATGAAACATTTACAGGGGAGACCTTGTCCTGCAAACATATTTTGTGACATGAAACTCCCATGTTTAAATATTTGCAGTAGCAGCATCTTGTGATGCACAATACAATGAACCTTAATGTGGAAGTATTCTGGGTTTAGGTCAGACTGATTTTGTCACATCAGTCTTGTTACAAACATTATTTAATGTTTAATTTCAGTGTAATGATAAAACATGATAAAACACTATATTTAATTTGTTTAAGTGCATGACAATTCTGTCAAGAAAACTCCTAAACTGACCTGCACTGGATGTGCATTGTTTTCTGTTTGTTGCTAATTATYGTTCATTCCAATTAACTCCAGGCAATGTTATGTTTCATAGCTGGGAAATGTTGTTGAAGAAATTTGTTYACCCTTGTACAAGAGCTGAAATTTAAAAAGCTTCAAAGTTACAGAAGTTTTGGTTGATAACATTTGTAGCTTCAATGCCTCACATTTTCCTTTCAGGACRTTTTTAACTATCGTAGGACTGAGTATGATAATTTCTCTCTTACCATATCCATTTAAGAGAATTTCTATTGGATTTTTTTTTCATCCTGCAGAGGACTTAGTTTCTGAAATAAGTAATATCAGGAAAGAGTAAATCTAGATAAAGAGCTGAAAATTAGAAAAAGCTTTTATGATGTTGATATTCTTAATGTCCGGTTTATTTAGCCTTTGGTGAGTSGTCTCTACACAAAAAATAAGCATTGTGTTCTATTTTTAGCATAAAAAGAAAAACAAGCAAACACAAAAGTAACTTGTGCCTGTTCCATTGTACAAAGAAATCCTTTCTTTGTTTAATGCCTTGTTTTCATTTTCTTTTTGTTCTCTCAGTGTTTGTGCAATGCAAAGGTGCTTTGTCACTCTGGACTGTTGGTACATTCTCCAGAAAACAAGGCTAATAAAGGGGTGCTTTCTTTAGACACTGGCTGGAAAGTGCTGTGGTGCTTCAATGGCTGAGCACTGGTTTGCTGGTAAGTCTGGGACAGGGGATTAAAAATACGGCTTGAGCTTTTTCTTGGCTGTGAAAAGTTAGAATTTCCTGTAGGATCTGTTGTGTTATTKCACAAGGAACTGCTTCAATCTGTTTATCTATGTAATGACTTGGAGAAGGAAATAGTGTCTGAAGAGCCTGGCTTCTACAGCAGACTTCTGCTGAAAATGTCATACCAGTGACAGGGCCACAGGGAACTGGGAAGTTTCATAGGTCAGTTTGCAAAAACAACACAATTAAASTGCTAAAGATTTTTTTCATGGTCATTGAAGTTGAGCATGCAGAGATCTTATTGAGCCTCCAAAAAGTTTTGCTTTTGAAAAATACCAGGTGGGCGGGGATCCTACCTTAACATGGGTTCTTTCAGCAAAAGCAATGCAGGGTGGCCACACTGATCCATGTGCTTCCAAAACTACCTTCCAACAGAGCAGCACAGTAAYCATGAGCAAGAAGAGTTATTGTGAACTCTTGACACCCCAAAGGAGTTCAGCCCTTTATCTTTACTTTGTGTTAATGATGTTTCTGTGAGGTGCAGTAAAGACTAAAAGTTAGCTCTGAAGGCATCATATGCCTTGTTTTGGTTGCTCCAGAGTCCCAGACAAGACAAGACAGTCAAAACTAAGGTCTATTGTACTTAAATTTTTTCATCTCCTCATGCAGTTCCTTTGTATTTTCTTTCTCCTTAACTTGCACCTTGCCAAATGAGAAGTAGATATCACTCAGCAAACAATGAATTAAAAAAAAAGCAAGTAAGCAATAAAAAGCAAAAGCTATGACAATTGGATTAAATATTATCAAGTCTGTTTAGAAAAAAACTTTTTGAAAAARAAGCTTGCCTTTCTGTTCAAGTTTAAGTGAATGATGAGATTAGACATGAATAGGTACTAGATAAATAATTAGATTMTCTGTCTGAAAAGTATCAGTTTTCTGAGCTGTCATTTTTTGTTTCTCTTGTCTTCTATGCCTGCAGGCATGCCAAAGGTAAGATAACAAGCTCACCGTGAGTGTAGTTTGTACTCAAACAGCCATAGAGGGAAAGTAGAGATGAATGTTGTTAGTCCTCTGATAACACTTTTAACCCTCTGTTGGAAAATCCAAGAGGAGAGCATATAAAATTGCACATTTCATACTGACTGTCTTCTCTGTGTGTGCCATGGCTTTCAAACCATCAAAACAGTGCTACTAGCAGGTGGCAWTTGTGAGTCTTGAAACTGGAGAAGGATGTGTCTGAAAAGAGGCCAATCTAAAATTCACTGGGGCTGGTACCATGGTTTTGTTAGTGAGGCAATGGCACTGTCAATGAAAAGTGTGTGAGATGCCTGTCAAAAATCAGCTCKGTAGTTATCAGGGATGATTCTGTCTGTGACACTTTACTATTAAAGTGCAGAGGATACCTTCTTGTTTTCTTTGAAAATCAGATCCATTCAATGTCTACCAAAAGCGGAATTTTGAATTCTTTGCTGAAACACAACATTGGCAAATCTCTGTTTTCTGGTGTCTAAATACTGCTGACCTTTCATGAAGATCAGGCACTTCTACCATGTTTTGTAGCACAGTGGTCTGAGAAAATCTGTAAAAACTCATTCTACTATTGAACAAAGGAAGAGTTTTCTGTTGTGCTCTCCCTGGATCTCCCACATTTGTGTTCATTATTTACCTGGGCTATTTGCAGAAGGAGTGAGGAATGTGGAAATTTGTTTGTTGATGTGATTATCAGCAACCTTGTTAGCACTGTCAGCATAAATCCATATCCCTATCACTTTCTGGTTACTTCTATTCAGAATTAATTTCTATGTGCATGTAATTGGAGAAAGAGAATTAGATATTTTGTTCAGTAATGGCAGAATCATGATTTAAAAGAAGTTGTTAACATGTTAATACAGAGTTTAGACGTAGATGATATTTCTCTCTCTCTTTGTCAAAATTGGAATGCTTCCTAAAGGAAAAGTAATTTGAAAAAATACCCAGTATTACATTCATAGCATATTCAAGAACTGTAAAATATATTCAGAATATTCAGTACAGGTCATTGTTTAGTACAATTTGTTTGCTTGGTGG